CGCCCGGCTGAATTTTTTTTTTTTTTTTTTTTATTTATTGTAGAGATGAGGTCTCGCTGCCCAGGCGGGTCTCGAACCCGCGAGCTCAGGCAGTTCACTCACCTCAGCCTCCCAAAGGCGTGGGATTACAGGCTGAGCCACCGAGCCCGGCTTAATTTTTTTTTTAAACGTGGATGGCGGGCCCCCTGCTTTCTGACTTGCTTTCCATGGAGTAGTTCGTTTTTATTCACAATAACCCCATGAGGCGGTACTGTCGTGGCCCAGAGTCACCGAAGGAGGAAGGTGGGCGTGATCCCAGGCATTCCGGCATCAGAATGGCCTAAACATTGTGCTACCAATACAAAACAAATATGCAAAAACAATGTTAAATTCCCCTATTACCCGTTTTGTGTGTCTTTGTGACTAAATGATCTTTTTAATAGGAAGAATTGCAAGAGAGAGACAGGGATGGGTGCCAAAGACATACATGCATGAAAAGAAGGCCTTGTTTTATTCTTAATAATTGCAAAAACAATAAAAATAGAGAATTAAGAGCAGAAATAAGGGCATATGTACACCATCGAAGGATGCTAGAAGCTCTACACCTTCCCTATGGACCCCAGTTATTACCAGTCCACCTGTACACTGGATTCTGATTTGTTCCAGAAACATTGATGCTATCATGTCTCTCTCTTATTCCAAAATAGGGTAACGCTAATGCCTTATCCTTTGGTACTCTTTGTACCACCTAAAGACATTCACACCATCCACAGGTCTCACACTTTGGAAAATCCCCAGCCCAATAGCATTTCAGCTAATACCATGCACTGTATGTCAGATTCTTGAACTGGGTACCTTATGGGTATTCATTTATTTAATGCTCAAGAAGATAGCTGTGTAAACATGTAGTTAGGGAGTCTGAGACCCAGAGAGTAAGAGACTTGCTGGAGTTCACACAGCTAGTTTGTAAATGTTAGAGCTGAGATTCGGAGTTGGATGTTAAAAGCTTGTTTTTCTCAGTGGAGTAAATAAAGCCATTATAATGTGCTAAGTGGTCACAGAAACTCACTTATTCATAACTATGTGTGAGACACCGGGGTATATTCGTGAGTAAAAATGCACGACCTCCCTTTCCTAGAGCTGACATCCTGGAAGTAAATAAGTAGTGAGTACCCTGGAAGAAAAAAATAATGGTGACGTGATAAACTTTTAGGGTTACTTTAGATGAGGTGATCCGGAATGACCTCAGATGATAGTGCCAAGGCTTGAAAGTTGAGAACAACCTGTTTAATGAAGAATTTGAGGTAGGGTATGCTTAGAAGAGGGAATAGCAATTATAAAGGTCCTGAAATGAGAACAAGACAAAGTCCCTGCTGTTGCAGAGTTTACCAAGTGAGAACAATAGAGTTTAGCTATGTTACAGACTGAATTGTGTCCCCTAAAATTCATATATTGAAGTTCTAACTCTCGTTGCCTTAGACTGTGACTGTATTTGGAGATGGGGCCTTTAAAGAAGTGGTTAAGTTAAAATGAGCCCTTGAGTGGGCCCTAATCCAATCTGACTGATGTTCTGATAACAAAAGGAAGTTTTGATACAGGCATCAGAGATGTGCCTGCATCAAGGAAAAGTCATCTGAAAGCCAAGGAGAGAAGCTTCAGGAGAAACCAAACTTGCCAACACTTGATCTTGGGCTTCCAGCCTCCAGCAATGTGAGAACATATATTGCTGTTGTGTAAGTCACCCAGCCTGTAATGTTTTGGTATGGAAGCCATAGCAAATGACTATACCGCATACTTAACTATAGATTACAGATGTGATGAGAGCCCTGTAAGAAAAGCAGGAGAGGAGTTTGCCTGGGGAAAGGGCTTTTAATCAATCACATTGAGCTGCCATCATCGGGATCTATTCATCCATAAAATTCTTCATCTTGCAAAACTAAAACTCTGCCCATTAAACAATAATTCCTCAGCTCCTCGCAAGTACTATTCTACTTTCTGTCTCTATGAATTTGACTTCTGTTCAGGATTTTTAAAGAAGTGCTGTGGGAGCAGAGGCGAAGGAAGAAGTGACTCTGTCTGCCATCTACATCCAGGAAACTGAGGTGACTCTGAACTAAATCTTTGAGTATAAGTGCATGTCTTATCAGTTTAAGAGGAGGAAAACAGCATTTCTGGTAGAAATAAGAGCATATATACACTATCTAAGGATGCTAGAAGCACCAACCTTTCCTGTGGAACCCTGTTGTTACCAGTCTACTTGCACACTGGATTCTGATTTGTTCCTGTAACATTGATGTTATCATGTCTCTCTCTTACTCCAAAAATTTACAACAGCTCTTATTGTCTGAGGGATAAAGGTCTGTTCTTCAATTTGGCACCCAAAATTCAGTATTTTTTATTTGACAGTGAAAATACTTGTAATTAGGGTGAATCCCCAAAATCTCTTCTCACCTCTCAAAATGTTGTAAATGTGAAATGATTTAAGAGTAATCGTGTAATTTTAACTTTGAAAACTACCTGACAGAGAAGATGACTTCTTGATGCTACTGAATTATAGAACACAGAGGTTAGATCTCATACTCAGTGATGTGTTAGCCTTGTTGTAGTTACACAGTCAAGGAAACATCATTTTGGGGGAAGAAATATTTCAAATAGGTCTTCAAACAATTTTGAGTCCTTTTATCCTTTTATAATGGAAATTGTTGGAAAGTGTGAAAGCCTCCAATTCCTACCAACTACTGGATACATCAAGAAAAGGTTCCCTGTGTCTCTTCACTCCTGTAGCAGATCTAAGGCTGTGTTGCCCATGGCAGTAGAAGCCAGTCTTCTGTGCCTACTGAATACTTGAAATGTTGCTAATGCAACTGAGGAACTGAATATTTAATTTTAGTTAATTTAATTTTAAAAAGTAACAATGTGAAATATTTTTCCATATTCAGAACTCTATTGTTTTGGAAGGCTATTTCACTTTAACTTTTGAAAATTTGGCATCTGAATTGAAATGTGCTATGAGTGTAAGATACCACATTTTAAAGACTTAGAATAAAAAAGTAAAATATCTCAGTATTTTTTTATACTGATTATACGTTGAAATAACAATGTTATAGATAAAATTGTTTAAATAAAACATAGCCTTAAAATGAATTTCATCTGTTTTTGTTAACTTTTTAAAATGTGCCTGCTAGAAAATTTGAAATTACATGTGTGGCTTTTTTTTTTTTTTTTTAAAGAATTGCAATGGCTCTGCAATGCCTTCCCAGTACAGAAACTAGAGAAGAATCTGGAGTGGGCACAGGAAGCAACTCTTTTATGGAATAAGACAATGAAAGTGGTGTATTAGGTATTAGTTTTTGTTTGTTGTTTGGTTTGCAAGTACCAGATATTGAAATGATTTATTAAACAAAATGGAGATTTATTAAAAGGTTGCTGGGCAGTTCACAGAAATGATGAGAAGGCTTGAGAACAAGGACAAAAAACAGGACAGTCAAGGGATGTAGGAAGCAGAAATTCACTGCAAGAATGGGTGATCACCAACTGATTTGATTTATCTGCTCTTAAAACACTTTTACTCAAGTGTTCAAAATCAAGGACAGAGTTTGTTATGTGTAAGGGAGGGCAGGCCCTGATTTACAACCTCAGCAAGTGTACACAATGGCAGAGGGAAATTTTTTTTTTTTTTTTTCTGGCTAAAAACTCCCTCACAGACAGTGCTGTGTGGGTAATTTTTTTTTTGAGTTGGAGTCTCACTCCGTCGTCCAGACTGGAGTACAGTGGCCACTCCTGGCCACTGCAGCCTCGACCTGCTGGGCTCCAGCGATCCTTCTGCCTCAGCCTTCCAAGTAGCTGGAACTACAGGTGCGCGCTACCATGCCCGGCTAATTTTTGATTTCTTGTAGAGATGAGGTCTCACCAAGTTGCCCAGGCGGGTCTCGAACCTGCAGGCTCAGGCAATCCACTCACCTCAGCCTCCCAAAGTGCAGGATTACAGGCTGAGCCACCGAGCCCAGCATGGGTAATTTTTTTAGAGAGAAATTGACTCCTGTTCCTTAGAGATTAGATAGTCACTATAATAGCCAAAACAGCAACAGGTATTCACTTAAGGCAGGAAGGTAAAGAATTCTATTAAGACAACCTGGAAGGACAATACATTGTTGAATGCCAGTGGGAACTCATATCCAACATCAAATCTATCTCACAAAAAGTGCTCCCTTTTTCTGGTTCCCTGTTTCATTCATTATTTTTTGGCTCTCTGTTATATGCAAATTGTGACTCCAGGTCAACCAACCTAAAAATTTAGTAGTGTGATACATTCCTTCTGCTCTTTATTCAGTTACTGATCTGTCTGTTGCTATTTCATGGGTATCCTGGTTAGAACTTAGGGCTGAAAATGGCCTTATAGGACATCCAGGTAATAATTCCTAAGCATCAGTCATGAGAATGACCAGGGAAATTAAAACATAACCAAACAACA